GCTGTAATACCATTTACAAAGCCATCTCAAAGTTGATTGCCTCTAGAATCAAGGGTGTGCTTCCAAACCTTATCAACCAAAATCAGTCCGCCTTTATTCCTAGAAGGATGATTAGTGATAGCATCCTCATTGCCTAAGAATTACTGAGGAATTATCATAGAAGTAATGGTGCCCCTAGATGTGCTATTAAAGTTGACTTGAAGAAAGCTTTTGACTCTATGTGCTGGTCTTTCCTGATGAATGCTCTTGAAGCCTTCGGGTGTCCATTGGAGTTTAGGTAGTGGATTTGGCAGTGCATATCCAACCCTAAGTTCTCTATCAATGTGAATGGAGAGTTGATTGGTTTCTTTCCAAGTGCTAGGGGTTTAAGACAAGGGGATCCTATATCCCCTTATTTATTTGTAATTGCCATGGAAATCTTCTCTCTTCTTGTCCTCCACAAAATCAACTCTAGCAAGGGTTTCAAATACCACTGGAGATGCAAGAAACTTAACCTCACTGATCTCTCTTTCACTGATGATTTGTTGCTTTTCTGCCATGGTGACTACTCCTCTGCAATGATCCTTAAGGAAGTTCTGGACGACTTTCAGCTCCTTTCAGGACTACAAGTAAACCATGCCAAGAGCAATATCTACACATGTGACGTACAAGTTGGGGTAAAGGATCACATCATCCATCTCTTCGGGTTCTTAGAAGGCCAACTCCCTGTGGAGTATTTAGGATTACCTCTTATTACTTCTAGACTTAGATCACAACATTGCAATAAGGTTATTGTAAGAATTGAGAGGAGAATTAGATCTTGGGCCAATAAATCTCTATCCTATGCTGGGAGGCTTATCCTTGTTAAGTTTGTTCTATGTAGTACTCAAATTTACTGGTCCTCTCATCTTAATCATCCTCAGCAGGTTATAGAAAGACTGGAGCAGCTTATGAGAAACTTTTTATGGAAACATACAAAGTTGAGTAGTTCAGGGGCTAAAGCCTCATGGGAGGATATCTGCAAACCAAAGACAGAAGGTGGATTGAGAATTAAAAGAGTCAAGGAGTGTAATGTTGCTTTGATGATGAAGTACATTTGGAAACTCCTTACTGACAAACAGAATCTATGGGTGAAATGGGTGCATGCTTATCACCTGAAGAGAAGAAACTTCTAGGATGTAAAGGCCACTCAATCTTGCTCTTGGAATTGGTTGAATTTGTTGAAGTTAAGAGGGACTATTATGCCACTAATGGTTCACAAAATTGGTAAAGGTACTATGATTTGGTATGATAATTGGCATCCCCTTGGCCCCTTGATGTTTGTATGCAGTGCTGATTTTCTTCTTGATAGGGACTGCCAAAAAGAGTCTCTTGTCAAAAGAATCATTGCTAATGGCCAATGGCAATGACCACCATCTACCTCCCCTACCTCCTCTTCCTCTCACGTTATTACCGGCACAATGCCCTCATATTCTCCCAATCCTTCCATGGAGGACAAGGTAAACTGGATTCTCTCTTCTAATTCAAATTTCTCCACTTCCTCAACTTTGGAGCATATTAGATAGAAGAGTTCCCCTGTTCCATGGTATAAGCTTGTCTGGTCTGGAAATGCAGTCCCTAGAATGAGTTTCATCCTTTGGTTAGCTATAAGGTCCAAGCTGAGTACCCTTGATAGAATTCAATCTTATGCAACCCACTTGGGCACTAACTGTATCCTTTGCGGAGCCACAGATGAGACCCACAGCCACTTGTTCTTTGAATGCAATTATTCATCAAGAGTTTGGAACAATATTATGCTCACTAGTGGATTTGTCTGGCAACCCAAGCCATGGAATGAACTCATTGAATGGGCTGCTATCAATTGGATGGGGAAATCAATGCAAAATTTGATACACAGAATGTGCTTGGTAGCCTTTGTCTACTATATTTGGATAGAAAGGAATGCTAGAAGATTTCGAAATCAATTCAGGGACCCCGAATGCACTGAGACATCTTATCCGTCAAACTATATGGACCAGAGTATCTACCTTGAAATTCAAGGCTTCCACCATCAACCTGCTTACAAGCCAATTATGGAACCTTCCCTCTTCTTGTTTCTATTGCTCATGAGATGGTTCCTGTGTTCGGCCATTGTCCCTATTACGCTTCTTTGTGGTCCTCTGTTTTCTCTGTCCTTGGACCTAAAGTGAGGAATTTTGTTGGTATTTCCCTTGGTGTTTCCCACTGATGCAGGTTGCTATGCCTGCTGCCCACTGTTGTAAGTTGTTGTGTCTGCTACGCTCTGTTGCAGTGTTGCTGTGTCTGCTACCCACTGTTGCAGTGCTCCTGCTGCGCATCTCTGTGGTTCCCTATGTTTTCTCGATTTTTTGGTCAGGTTGCTATGTCTGCTACACATTGTTCTTTATGGTTTGTATGGGCTCTTATAGTTCTGGAGTGACCCATGTGTCTTTTTGTAAGGGTCATTCCCTTTCTTCTTCTCTCTTTTTGATTTATTGAATTTTTATTTCTCAAAAAAGAAAAAAAACAAACAATCAAACAACAAAACGAAATAAAAAAAAATACAACACGCGTAAACTTATATGATGCAATTTGAAAGTTTACGAAACACTTCAATAAAAAATTCACTACAACAGATAAAGATTACAAAGAGCATATCTCAAATGAACGAATATCAAGATCTAGAGGCTGAATGGAAGAGTTTCTTTGAAGCTCCAGCTCTAAACAGGAACTCGAGGCCGAGTAGAACTGACACAATGCTAGTTCGATTTGGCCTATGAATTTGTCCATAAAATGTGAAATTCGAAGTTATTATAAACTCGCAGAATGGTAACTCTCACTGGAGGTTACCTTACATAAGTGATTAGGCGCCCCTGACGTGTTCCCTGGGGGAAAACTAAAAAATTTATGCACCGTACCATAAATTTTATAAATTTTGTGGTTTGAGATACAAATTTTTAGGTTTATTTAAAATAAAAAAAACTTACAACTTTTGATGTCATATTACAACTTTTATGATTCAAGTTATAACTTTTATGGATTATTTATAACTTTTGTCGATCATTTGAGATCGATCTTAAAAATTTTATTATCAATTAAAAATAACCTAAAAAGTTGTAAATGACCCCCCAAAAAGGGACAAATAATTCTCAAACATTGTAAATGATGCCCAAAACTTGTAAAAATGACTCTCAAAAGCTGTAAATGACCCGTGAAAATTATAAAAATAAATAACAAAACTTATAATAATGATACAATACCGAAAAAAAAATTTCGTAAACTTGTCCGTGCTACCAGTTACTAATCGCAGTCTTATTATTTATATTTTTGAGCAGAGTAGGAGAGGGATAGCAATCAGATCGTGTCAAGTGTGTTCGTGTCGTATTATTTATGGATTTGTGTCGAGTAGAAATTAACCCTAATTCAACACATTTAATTAATTGAGTCATTTTGACTCAATTCATTTATGACAATCGGGTAGAGTCAAGTGTAATCGTGTTGTATTATTTATGGATTTGTGTCGAATATTAATTAACCCTAAGTCAACACATTTAATTAATCAAGTCATATCAACTCAACTCATTTATTTTCATATCGTGTTCGTGCTGACTCATATAACTCATGAATAAAAATTTAATATTAAGATTTAAGTTTAAAATTTCATTATCGCTTAATCAATCTCATGCTCATTTTTTCTATAAACTAAATATTATCTTGATAGACATAATAATAAAAATGAGTAAAAATATCTCTTTTTTGTACAAGAATTATGTAAATACTTGATAAAAAATAAAAATATATATATTATCATTTTTATTCATATAATACTAATTAAACGTGTTAACCATATCACATTTCATGTCTAACACTAATTCAATTCATCTATTATTTTCTTGTTAACTGGCCGTGTAATTTTATGAATTCAAGTCAAAAGATAATTAACTTAAACCCACTAATTTCATATCGTGTCAAAAATTACGACCCTAGATTTCAATAATGTTGACAAAACATAACCCAAAAATTAGAAATGCTAGGACCTCTTTGATTTGCATCTCAAAAATTAGGATTCGAAAATAGTTTTTGTAAATAGTTGTTGATATTTTTTGAGACGAAAAACTTATTTGGTTAGATATTTTAAAAACAGTTTGATATAACAGAAAACAGTAAAACCTATTTGTACAATAATTCAAAAAATTGAATGCAATTCTTTGATTTTGGAAAGAATGCAAAATTTTCTTTATCAAAAATAAAATCAATATACAAAACACGGATAAAAAACCAAATGAAAAAAAAAAAAAAAAAAATCAAATTTGTGTTCTCCGCCTGTGTGCGTGTGTGTGTTTTCAAAGTCAGATCTAAATACTGATCTAAAGCCAGATGCAAAAAAAAACGGAGAAGAAGATCTTGAAAAAAAAAAAACCCAGATCTGTGTGTCCATTCCTTGTGTGTGTTCAAAGTCAAATCTGAATACTGATTTGAAGCCAGATGCCAAAAAAAAAAAAAAAGAGAGAGAGAAGAAAATCTTGAACCTAAATCTTGAAAAAAAAGCTAGAGATCATAGAAGAAGACAAATTGTGTGTGTGTGTGTGTTTCGTCTGGATTTTGATGAAGTGGAGAGAGAAATTTGGGAAAAAAGAGGAAAGTATTAAAAAAAACTTATAGTAAAAGTTATTATGTTGCTAAAAAGTTTCGAAAATGAGACCTCAATAAAAAGAGAGGATATTCCCCTTGTTTTCCTTTTTTCCTTTTGAGTTTGTTTCCTCTTTTTAATTTTTTACAATCCTCTTTCCAAATATTGAAAAACCAAAAGCTCAAACCAAACAACTCGTCTTTGTTTTTAAAATTTTTGAAAACAAAAAACTATTTTCAAAAACCAAACCAAAGCAAACAGACCCTTATTTTTCCGGCATCTTGGTTATGAGTGGGTTTCGAAAATCGGACTAAAAAAAAATGGACGTGCCCCAGGCTTCGGCGTTCAATGACACCCCCTACGTATCTATCAGCCATTCGAAAGACATTTAACTCCACAAGCCCATGCTGGCCAAGCATACAACATATTTCAATAGTTCGAACACACAGCACTCAAAGTCTGCTAATCTGTGTCCGCAAAATATTCCTTTGACAATTGATACATTAAAATTCTCAAAGCAAAAAATACCAACTCTAAGGCAAGGGGGGTTAAAAAACCCACAAGCAGTGTTTCCGACTATAAAAAAACTGAGTTCATTCTGCTGATATCAACAGCCCGATTGCTGGGACAAAAAAAGCTTAGTATGCGTAAATAATCCAAAATATGCAAAAGGAATCGGAGGCTGACTCTGCTCAGCAATAAAACATTACATCTTTGACATTTTCTTTAATCGCCGGCAGGGCCCTGACCTCCACATTCCTCTCCCTAGTGTTCCTCCCACCGGTAGATTCACTTTCAGATGTCTCGCCTTCAATATAATAACGAGCACGAAACGCAGCCAAATGTGCATAATACGCTGGTGGTACTGCATAATAGATCAAAATCCAGACTATTAGTCAAAGAACCAACTGCACCAGACCATAATAGTCTATATGAAAGAAAAGATGAAAAGGATCAACAGATCAGGGATTGACCTATGGAAACAGATCGGGTACACCTTGCATACCTGGAGAAAGAATAAAATTGAAGAGATGAACTTAGAAAACTACAACCCAGAATAAAAAGCTATTACACAACGAAAAATCAGTCAGCAAGTCGAGAAAGTGGGAAAAATACGTATAACACAGGCTGTTTGTGAGTGTCTGCAAGGCATCTGCACTGAATTTATTCTCATCAAACAAGACATGGTAGTGTGTAGGACGACTTGTTCCCTGCTCAGATAAATACCGAAAGCAATGACAATTATCACAAAATTCCAATTTTTTGTCTACCAATGAAAATAACTAATGGCAAACTGATGAAAAACAGCAAGGCAACCTAGCTTACCTGGATTCCAGCGTGGCTGCAAAGGTAGAAATCGAATTCAGTAGGGTGGCAAATCTGGGTATCAACAACCGTACCTGAGTACAAACATACAGATAGTACTCGATACAAACAGACAAACTCCAAAACACAAATAGACACCATACCACTCATATTCACAAGAAACAAAATCTGAAAACCTGGCAGAATGTTGCCACTCTTATCTGTTGAATTGCGATTATTATGATCAACAGGGAAGAGCCGTGTGTGGTGTCTTTTCTGCACCACCACAAAGGTAACCCGTGGCAGATAGTTTTCCTCCAAGGAAACACAAGCCTGAGAAAAACACAGTTTTTGTTACAAAACAAAAATACAGGCCAATTCAGCACCCAAAATACGTCAGTAATGACAACTCTAACCAATTGTAAAGACTGAATGAGAACATGTACCTTTCGAATGGCATCCATCTCATATAGCAAAACTTGACTGAATTGACCTTCACTGACTCCATCTCTGCAAGATTAAAATCAATATAAGTGAACTGTGTACAGCAGGTGTCACTCACGTTGCTTGCCCGTAGACCATGTACTCACCTGTAGAATATAATCCTATCAGGCTTGTGCCCGGTTGATTTCCTGAAAGCTATTAACAATTCCCTGAAAAAGTGGAAATGAATGATTAGAAAATAGGATAAGAAATTTAATGATGCATGAACTGCAGTGGTTGAGTTTAAACCTTATCATTCCAGTATGAACAGTGCCCCTTTGAGGATCTTGATATGTTTTATAAAGATCCTGGATGATTTCTTCCTTATGGGCCTGTGCAGAAACCAGTCCTCTATACTTTGTTACCTCAGGCCAGTCCACTGAAGCAACCACCTGTAAGATATATAATTCCACTGTCAGCTAAAGATCTCAGGTGCTGAAAAAAAAAAGTGACAAAAGATGATATTATTGACCACATACAGAAGCTATGGATGGACTAGAGTCCTCCCCTGGAGTAGGATGAGTTACATCGGCACCAAAGACAATGGTAGGACGATCAGTCAAAAAAGGAATTCTTCGATCAACAGCATCCACCAACACTGTGTTCCGACCTCCAACCTATTGAAGTACATAACAAGAAGTCATAGACCAAATTTATAAAATGAATCAACATGGAAAATTCGAGCAGATATTCAGCAAACCAACCTTCACATTGATCTTGAGAGCCACATTTTCAAGATACTGCTTATTACTCCTTTGTGCTTGCCTGGGTTGACAGCACTGTGAGACAATGCCCAACTCCGTTTCGCACACTCGTTTGATCTTGCCTGTAAAAAGAAAAATGTCACTTAAGCATACAACTAGATCCCTTAAAATGTATTAAATGCTGGGGATCATGACAATGACGAACCATATGACCCACTGAAATCAGGCAAGACAATAATTAACAACTGAAGTTGCTTTCCAGGAAGCCCCATGCTGGCTAGTTTTGCTGTAGACTGGGCATGAATATTGTAGAGAGCCTTCTCAATTTGGCCAGGATGGGCCAAATCAATGGGAAGAAAAGGGTCGTTGAAAACCTGGCAAAGTGAATGGAAGGGAAAAAAATGTCAGCTGCTTCTTTATGGTGTAGAAATTGAAATGTTGGGCATAAACTGCATGCAAAGAATGAAAAGCCTTACCATCCCTTTACTACAACACATCGAAACAAGGTCATGGCAGAACTGATCCAAATTCATTCTAGCCCGTGAAAAGCTGATACAAGTCCAGAACTCCACCCTACCACCATTTACCATTTTCTACAAAATCACAATTGCTAAACGTCATCTAGCTGCAAAAGAACTACATACATAATACCATTTCCCAGTTGTAAGCGTAACAGGTGGAAAGAATAGCACAAAAAAATCGACTATTTCATAAAATTCTAGCTTTACTAAACACACACACATAGAACATTTGTACTACACCAATCTTCTCTATTGTTTTGGGGACATAAGAACATTACCGAGCAGTCATGGAATAACAAATTATAAAACACATAAGCAGATCAATCTGCATGCACTAATGTCAAATGGACCAAGAGTCACCTGGTCTCACCCAAAACATATCACATCAGACACCAAGAATGGAAATATGTAACAATGGATTCACCTTGTCAATCATGTTCCATTGGCCCACCCTTGGATCAACCCGTGCCTCTCTCCCGGTATCATGATACTTGAGCTGAACCACCAAAGCAAAAGTTAAAACTCATTCAAAAGTGGAATGTAAAATGATTTTTTAATACCACAAACGAAAACAAATGATTACTGTTGGAGGTGGGAGAACTCGTGCATCAACAGAAGTAAGGTCCGGCCTCACTTGAATCCCAAATTCTTCATTGACAAGCTTATCATTGTTGTAATTGTTGTAGCCAACTACCTAGACGAGCAAGGTCAAATAATAAATAATATTGTCACAAGATCAGACTTTGACATCACAATCCTCCAGTAAGCGATTTCAATAATAATCTCAACAAGACCATACCTGCCTGATACTCCTCTCTCTTTCACCAGGACGTTGACAGGTCGCCCTCAACAGGGCAGTCACCTGCTTCTCATTTAACTTTTTGGTATACCTTTGCCCCTCAACAATCTTGCAAATCTACATTGAAACAGTAAGTCACTGTCAGCTAAAATAACAAGTAACGGAAGCAACCAATGACCCAGCTGATGTAAAATACATCATATTCGAGCACACCTCCATGGGCAAATAAACAGGTTTGGCATCACTTCCGGCCAGAAGTGCAGGCAAGAATGCATACTTAAGTATGATGTTGTATTTCTCCCGAAAGTACTGAACAACAGACACCTTTGCTCCAGTGTCATCCAGAGGAAACCTATTTAAATGGGGAAAAAAATTGAGGGCACTAATAGAACTACACAAAATGAAATTGAGTTCACAGACAAAAACAGTTTGAAACCGTTATCACAGATTAAAAAAGAACAAGATAAATGACTCCACAAGTGTTGTACATTTGATTGCATATCAGCAGGATGGTTTTGCCTTGCCTGTCCATGACATAAAATGCAAGCAGGAAAGCAGAGCCACACAGTACAAATCAAACAAAGAAATTACATCGGGCCCATGCCAAACATGCTGCCAAAACCAATGTTACCAGAATCGTTTTTCGATTTGGTACATTGTACAAACACTGATACGGGGTCTGATACTATTTCTAATACGCAGTACAATGGGGGGTAAAGCTTAATTCGCACGCTATTTGGGTCATTGTTCGTTTTGTAACTTTTATAGAAAATAATACATTCATATACAGAATTAACATATATTTATTTAATATCTTTGACAAGTGTCATCAAAATATGAGTTTAAAGAACAACAAAATAGAAAAATAATAAGTTAGGGTTACGATTTTCAGTTAGGGTTATGAGGTGAGATTACTTAGATCATGAGTCAATTTGCAGTTTGAGTTATAACTTGGGGACGGGACAGATCATACGACCCCGTGTCCAGGGATGCTAGGGGTATCTACAATCCTGTGGATTGGCCAAAACAAATACGCATCTCATTGATGCATCAACTTCGTTTAAATGCACCTGTGTTTTCAATACAGTTAAAATATGATTCTGAAGAAGGGTTAACAACAGTAGACATTTTAAAGGATTTGTAATCACTGCTAAAAATGGAATCCATAAGCAAATATGTGCATCACTCGATTCCTTGTGTATGCATTTAAACAACGGTGTGTATGGCTTTTAACATTACAAATTCAAAAGCATGTGCAAAACATAATGTAGAATACAAACTACATGTTTTATGCATACCAATAGTTGTAATTATTACACATGCTTTTAAACTTAAAAATTTCTCAGAATCACTAAAGCTACCCGACACTGGTATCATTCCTAAATCTATAACATGTACAAACTTTGATTTTGTGGTTCTTGGCTATAATATATCATTATATAGCTATACAAGTTTGTGGAATTATTGAACTTGAGGGAAGAAAGAGTACTTTGCAAAGCTTCTATATCTATATTACACAGGAAACATGTCACAGAAAGCATATAGAAAATGAATCATATCAATCTCACATTAATTGGCTCGTTGGTTGGGTTGACACGCCTGAAATTTTATAGCGCTTCACATACTCCCTGTGACTAAGTTCAACCCTGACACCTTTAAGAGCTCTTTTGACCTGGAAATCCCAAACAAGCAGCAGCACATAATGATCAAATTCAGAGAAGGAAAAAAATGCTAGATCTTCCATTTGCCAATGATGGCCATGCGAAACAAGACTTACCAACACTGGCATGATCTAATTCAGAGAAGGAAAAAAATGGTAAGATCTTCCATTTGCCAATGATGGCCAAGAGAAACAAGACTTATCAATAATGGCATGAAATAAAAATACCGCATGCCAAACAAAAAGACTAGAAAATTGAAACATAGAAACCCTTCTAAAATTTGCTTAAAAGATCACAACTAGCCATACCAATCACCTTTATTGCCATGCATTCTACCAAAGTCCTCCCTTTATTCTATTTCAGCCCAAAACTTTTTAAAATTCACAGTGTAACGAATTAATTACGACATTTTCCTATATAATGTTATGAACCTACTGCAGGCTTAGTACCTTAATTCGATCTTGATCAGAAAGAGGCCTTGTCAGATCATTAATATTGAAATACTTTGCCACAAACTTAGAAACTAGAATTGGGTCATAGAATCCTCTGGCTGACATATCTGCAAATTGGCAATCAAATGTTCGAAGTAAGGAAGATCACCAAAAACAGAATTTTGATGGGCCATTAAGCACGAGCACCGCAGAATCTCCAAAACTAAAAAAAATTGATGCATATTTGTACCAATATTGAGAGATAGGCCCATCTGGGTGGGGCGGAGGCTTTGATAGAATCCTTTCCAATACTGCAACCCGTCTGCAAGATCACCTGCGCCCATGCTTGGAGAAAAGAATGACCTTCCCACAACTGTATAACTGCAATCAAAAGCTTAAGGAATTGAATATAGCAATCACACTTCCAGGTCCCATAGACTGTTATATGCCACATGATCAACTTATAACAGAAACAAAACTTGGACAAAAAACAAGATAAAAACTGGGCGAGAGAAATAACTTGATTGAAGGTGTCGCCCTCAGCACAACATCAAGAACTTGTATAGTTTCCTGTGGGGCATCAAGTTGTCTACTCTGCAAGAACTGTTGCAGATGATGGAAGTCAGCTTTGGCTGCAAATTTTATTGAGACCCTAAATTCTCGCTCCCTCCTGCTGCAATTAACAGCAAGCATGGCATTAATTTCAACTTTAACTGAAAATAGTAAAAGGTAATTTATCCCATATTCCATGGCCAACACTTCCTCTAGACAACTATATCAGAGACCACCATATAACCCAAAATTAATAAGCAGAAATGTAGGGAGAATTTTCAATTTGAGTTGAGAACGTATAATGAAGGTTATTTATTTTCATCTGTTTTCACTACCTGTGGATGTAAACAGAAGTCCACCACTCAAGAAATAAGTACATACAATTTTTACTGTAGAAAAAAACAGCATTTTGTGTATGTGTCAAACCACAATCAAAACTGCAGGAAAACACAAAAAGGAGAGAAAAACCTTGCTCCACCATCTTGGTCTTCTAGCTTGACAACGAAGTCCTTTGAATTAAAAGGCAAAGGCCCAGCTGTGTAGGCACTCTTCCTTCCATCATATGCTAACCGACGCCTGCCCAAATGGGACTCACGATATAAGTCAACAAGTGTGCTAATTATATCCCTGCATACTTTCTTCGAAGTAACCTCCGGATTAATGGACACCTACATGAATAGAAATTGTCATTTAACCAAAAGAGAAATCATATGTGGAGAAAAACAATTGTAGAACAGCATCACAACACCAACAGATCCAAAATTAAATCCAATTAACTAGTTACCTTAAATAACTGTGAATTGAAATATTATGAATCACTGTGTAGAAAACCAAAGCAGAGCCAGAACAACATTTCAAGTAATATGTCTTCGTGGAAGACACAAATATCATTCTCCCCAAAAATTAAGATCATCTTCAAAGTAAACAAACAAACAACACCAGTTAAGCTGAATACAAAATGTAAACACCCAAATACATTACTTCTCCTCCGAAACGGAGGTCTGAGGCAAGAGCTAGTTAAGCTCAATCTTTCATGGACATAAGAATTTAGAATTTAGAATTTAGAATATAAACATGTCTGTGTGTTAATACACTTCTCAAACAAGAATGGTCTGAGGCAAGCGCTGAGTTCGGTCCTTAAATGGAAAAATTCTGACAAAATTTCAATAGGCGAACACAATCAGCAGCTGAGGGCAATAATAATATTAAAACCAAATTATAAAACATAATAATTAAACAGCGAATAAACACTTAAAGCTACCGTCTATGAGTTAACCACCAGCAATATTTACAAAAACATAAAACAAGGCATTATGTGCAACATATATATATATATAGACACACACGCGCATACACAAAACCAACAATCCGACGTATGACGACAAAGCAATATACACCAATAAAAAATCCCATGTAAGTAAACATACCTATTCACATTTAACAAATCCAAATACCCCTAAATAGTACAATGTAAAGGAAATGTACAGTATACGCAAAAATTATAACAGTAACATATACAGCACAAAAAACAAAAGCGAAAGGTAGAAAATCTCACGTCGTAGTGATGGAGATCTCTCTCGGCGACTTGCACCAGAAAGTGATTCGCCCTAACAATGCATTTTCGGCCGACAGTACCGTACCCCGGCCTCGTCGGAGGCCGCTCCGCCTTCGACGATAACGGAGGTGGCTGCACCGGTTCCTGAACTGGCTGCGCCGGAGCTTGTACGGACTGCTGAGGCATTTGGATCACCGGCGGCGTTTGTACGGAAACCGCCGGCTGGGCAGGAGCCGCAGATTGAATCGTCAGTTTCTGCTGCATGTCGCGGCTCAGAGAAGCCGATGAAGAAGACGAAGCCGGAGCGGGAGCGGGAGCGGGAGCCGGAGCTGATAGCGATGGAAACTGAGTTGACGACGGTGGTGGGGGTGCCGGATAGTCACCACCGCGACCACGTCCGCTGCCACGACCGGAAGATGGCGACGGCATCGATTGGTCATAGTCGCCTCGTCCGCCACCACGTCCTCCACGACCACGTCCACGACCACCACCACCACCACGTCCGCGACCACGTCCTGACATTTTTCTTCAACAATGAAGAGAGTGAGAGAATGTCTGAGTAAATTGAAAAGACTGGGAACAAAATCGAGTAGTCCTAACAATTCATAGGGAGAGAGACGTGAATGAGTAAAAAGAGGACTCAGAAGGAGTGAGAGAATTAGTAGGACGGATGTGAGAGAAGGGAAGGGCCGCGAATATATAAATGCTTAGCAGGTTTCGGAGGATTTTTTGTGGACGATTTTGTCCCCAGTGTCAAGTTTCAATTGCGTTGGTGACCCTCCATTTTGGACCCATTTATTCTTTTATTTTTATTTTAATTTTTTTGGTTATTAGACGACAAATTTTAGCCTAAGAATACAAGAAAGCAAAAGGACAAAAATGATCCCCTCGCAAAAAATTAGATAAATCTATATTTATGGTAGAGAACAGTTGAAAATTGGAATAGTCACCCACAAAAAAAAAAAAAAAAACTTAAAATAGTTGATTTATACTTACAATATGTTTTAAGTATAATGGCTCCCCACGATGCACGGAAATTGAACACATCTCCTTCCCCTTTCTCATCCATCTTTTCCTGCTTACTTTTTATTTTTTATTAACATCATATCATTTAAAAAATTTGATAGAAAATTATTTTAAAAATAATAATTTAAGGTAATAAAATAATTATGTAAATTTATGGTGATAAAATTATATTTCTAAAAAATTAAATTAGTTGCTCATTTTTATATAAAAAAAATTGAATCAATGATAGTTATTAGTGGGGTAAAAAAATCATTTAAGGTAATAAAATAATTATGTAAAGTTATGGTGATAAAATTATATTTCTAAAAAAAATAAATTAGTTGCTCATTTAAAAAAAATTTGAATCAACAATAGGTAATTAGTGAGGTAGAGGGATAGTTACATGAGATATGTGTTAAAACATAATTAGTTAAGTGATAATTAAATAATCAAAAATTCTAAGAAAAAAAAAGTGGGAGGAAAGGATTTTCAAAATACCTCCCACCTAATTTGATTGTTATATATATATATATAAATAGATGCTAAAAATTTAAAGTTTTTTGAGAGAAAATTTAGTTTTGTTTGAATTCTAAAAAATAGAGGTATTTTTTTGAATGGGTGAATTACCAAATGGGCTACTAAAATTTTTGAATATGTTGCCAACTTTATTTTTACAATAAATGAAAATAAAAATGCTGAACTTGTACCAAGGGGTTGAGTTTGTGAACAAAACATCTCAAAGGAAACGACGCCAAGTTGTCATCAACTTAAAAAGCAATCACTTTTGAGAACCAAAATCGAAAAGAAATCAACACTCTCTTCCACATAATTCTACAAAAGAATTAAAAGTGTGTAGACTTCGAATGAAAAATTTTAACAATTAAAATGATTGAATAGTAAGTAAACTAGTTTTTACAATTAAAAAGAGTATTGGTACCCTCTCAGAGTCAGATTAATTGACGTACGCGTAATCTAAACATACTTTATCAACCAATTAAACGTATTTTATCCCCAATTCTATTCAAACAATTCAATTTGGAAGATATCATAATGTAGTAAAGTTATCATACAACAAATGGTCTTGCTAATTGTCATTGGTAAGAGTTGGAATTTTCGACATGATGTTATACAAACTTGCTTCAAATTTATTAGGTATAGATTGATAAGTTTTTGAGAAAATAATTCAAAAAAATGAGGCAATCCATTTACAAGAATAATTATGTGTTGGATTAATTTAATACTAGGTTAATTGATTTTTTCGTAACCCAATACAATTTTTTTATGTGTTACCTAGGACTGAATGAATCATCGTAGAATAAATAACGCTTAGTTGCATTATTTTGGTTAAGTAGTTATGGGTATTAACTAGAAATGATTAGTATTTAATATAATCTCAAAATAACATTGTAAATACGAACAACTCAATTCAATTTTTATTATTCCACTTGAAAATTCTATTTTCTTTTTGAAATTCTTAGTATTATTGTTGATTGTACTATATTTGGGTGTAATTAATTTTATATTAACAATTAAAAATAAAATAAAAAAGTAATTCTTTTTAGAGATATTAAAATTTATAAGCAATATACCTATAATGCAAATCTTTTATTTACCCAGAAAAGTAATAATATCGAATTTAGAAGGGGCAAAGAATAAAATAATCAGATGCTGACTATGCGTCCCGCCCATAATAGACAAATCACAGCTGAGAACAAAAGCCAGCGAGTACAGAATACAACATTCTTTCTGCAAGATAAACATACTCGCTGATCTGAGCCTGGTAGTTGTGCTGATAAGGCCCAATTTCTGACACGTGTCAAACATCCATAGCCCGTGGACCCCAATCTCTCACCCAAGAGTATGCCTTAAAATTCCCAAAAGTCTGGTAACACAACAAAATAATCATGAGCTTACGTATGTTGGCGGCTGTGGCATGGCATGGGATGGATATGGCTCATGGAACGACGGCGAATAGATCGAGACGCAATGAGAACCTCTGTCGTGGCGATTTTTCCCAGGACTGCTGCTTCAGCGAAGCTCTCGTGGACCCCATCGACCATCTCTACGTCATGGCGATAAAAAGGCAAATACTATAATACCCAAAAAACATTATAATTTTAAGACCATTTTATTATTTTTATTAGTATAACATTTGCTCGACAAACAGAGAGAGTTTCGGATGAGGTGGATAAAGACAGAGACAGCGAGGTAGTGGGGCCCGGAATCCGTACGGGCGTGCTCGGTTACTGGAGGACTGGGGGTCCCCTCTTTGCGGGATATGTAGGACCACGTTTGTGGAGCAGAAGCTAACAAGCAAGAGCAGTTAGTTAGAGCATTTTGTGACTTAAATTTGTGAAAAAAGTTTGATTTGGTATATGAGTATTATAATAGATTTATTTAAATATTTTTTTACAAAAATTATTATCTTAATATTTTTTTTATTAAAATTATGATATTTAATAAAATAAATAAAACTTGCATCTCTATCCATAAATGGGTAATTAAAAAAAATGAATATATATACAACACTAATAGGAGTAAATAAACTACCCCAAAATACACTTAAAAATTTGATATAGAATTTGAGGATGTTTTAATTTGGGTTCAAAATAAGTTTTGTCTTGATTTGGTATATATTTGAGTTAAGATTGAAAATGTTCTTATCCGAAAAAAAAAAACAAATAAATAAAGAAGGCAAGGAGCATTCTAAGAACTATAATTCATTTCAAAGCTCGTAGAGTACGCTTAATATTTTTTCAAATAATATTTTTTTTAATTTTTTTTCTTTTCTTTTACTTTACTTTTTACCTTTTTTTTTTTAATTTTTCATCATCAATATTTTTCTCACCAAAAGGAGTCATTGGAAAGAAACGCTGTGTACGTATAGGTCTGTTCTATGCGTATAAAGTGCACTGGGAATTTATTTGCCAAAAATAAAGAAAGTTACTCTGGAGGACTCTGTGTCGCCCAACTTTTTAAGTAATGCAAGGCGCCGATTCCGCAATGGAGGAGCTGTGGAAGGGGAGGGGAAGTAACCTTTTTTGTTTTTTTTTTACCTGAAAAGGGCGAAAAATATTCATTACAACGATGATATTCGGTTAGCACATAATATTATTAATTAATAATATTTAGATTTATCCAAAAAAAAATTAATAATATTCAGATAAATAAAAAAATAGACTCCACACAAGCTCATACCTATCCATCCATATAAATAAATAACTAATTAATATTAACATAATATCAACATGAATATTCTTTCAAGAGAAAAACCTATCTTATGCTCGTTATCCATATAGAATTTGACATACAAAAGGCTTCGCTTTCTTGTGTAACCAAATTGTTATACATGTATTTTGTGCAAAATACTTTTTCTTAACATATATTTTTTTTATAATAGTTAAAAGATTAAATATAAATGAGTTGAGTTTATTATGAATAAAAATATTAAAGTATAAATCGCAATATAAAATTGTTCAATTTTAATGATCTTGATTGTTATTGTGCTTAATATAAATAAGACTATTTGCTTTATTTATTATATAGATTAAGAGTTTTTATAGATTTTCTTTTCTTTCTTTTTGTAAAATTATTATGATATTTTCATGGTTCAAACATTTACTCGGGTTAAAATATTTATTATATTTAGAAGTTACATATAATTAGCATATATTAATATAGTTAATATCTATATTTATATCTATATCTATCCATATCTATATTTACTTATAAATGACAACATTTACGAAAAAAATTTAATTTTTTATTTTATTCCTAATTATTATAATAAATTTAATTATACCCCGCTTATCCCTAAAATTCAAACTCAAAACATTTAAATTTATGATTCAGCTCTATTACCATTTGAACTACTTTAAAATTATTCATATTCTATTGAGCCCTTACGTGAGGATTAGGAACCCGTAAATTATATGCTGATGGATACCTTTCCATCTGTAATCTAGCTTCTCCCCCTTCCTTTCTATACTTTTGTATTTCTACTATTACTTTCTGTAACTTTATTCCATTACTTTTAGTCTCCTTAAACTCCGAATTAAATTGTCAGGGAATCAATTCACCATTCCTTACTTTGTAAGTCGTCTACTACTACTTTTTGTAGCTTTATTCAATTACTAATACTTTTGATTAGCTAAATTTTAAGCGAATCAATTCAAACCCTTTTATTGTTTAAAAAAAATATTGATCACAACCTTTTAAACATTGGTACGTTTTTTATTGTCAATTAAAGGTATACTTTAATCCAAAATTAACTTAAAGATATAATATTTTAATTAAAATTTTAAGTGTTTTGATTGGACTAGAAAAAATATGTTCGAACTCAAGTTAAATTCAAGTAATTCCATTATCACTTATTTTGGCTGATGTGGGCATGACTAGCTATTTTGACAACATTCCATAAAATCGAGACACAATGAGAACGGTGATTTTTCTCATGAACTCTACTTCAGGGAAGCTTATGTGGCTCTCATCTACTAAATTTATGTTATCTCAATGAATTCCATGTCATCCCGACGAATAGAGAGTTGCTTAGGAGAAAAATGGACACATGAATTATTCAATGGAATATAATCAAATAATATGTGATATCATTGATTAATTAATAATTATGATGTTAAAAAATCAATACA